GAAGAACAACAGCAAATGCAGAGAGAAGTCGTAAAACCTAAAAAGCTTGAAATTCCCATGTTCGAATCCCAAGCAGAAATCAAGAAAGAGGTTATAGAAACAGGAAAACTGGACACGAACAAATTTCTTCAAAGAGAAGAGCCACAAACAGTGAAGAGAGAAATCGTAAAACCTAAGAAGCTCGAAATTCCCATGTTCGAATCCCAAGCAAAAATCAAGAAAGAGGTTATAGAAACAGGAAAACTGGACACAAACAAATTCCTTCAAAGAGAAGAGCCACAAACAATGAAGAGAGAAATCGTAGAACCTAATAAGCTCGAAATTCCAATGTTCGAATCCCAGGCAGAAATCAAGAAAGAGGTCGTCGAAACAGGGAAACTGGATACAGGAAAATTTCTTCAACAAGAAGAACAACAAACAATAAATAGAGAAATCGTGCAACCAAAAAAGCTCGAAATTCCAATCTTCCAGTCCCAAGGAGAAATCAAGAAAGAGGTTATCGAAACAGGAAAACTGGACACAAACAAATTCCTTCAAAGAGAAGAGCCACAAACAATGAAGAGAGAAATCGTAAAACCTAAGAAGCTCGAAATTCCAATGTTCGAATCCCAGGCGGAAATCAAGAAAGAGGTCGTCGAAACAGGGAAACTGGACACGAACAAATTCCTTCAAAGAGAAGAGCCACAAACAATGCAGAGAGAAATCGTAAAACCTAAGAAGCTCGAAATTCCAATGTTCGAATCCCAGGCAGAAATCAAGAAAGAGGTCGTCGAAACAGGAAAACTGGACACAAACAAATTCCTTCAAAGAGAAGAGGCACAAACGATGAAGAGAGAAATCGTAGAACCTAAGAAGCTCGAAATTCCTATGTTCGAGTCCCAGGCGGAAATCAAGAAAGAGGTTATCGAAACAGGGAAACTGGATAAAGGAAAATTTCTTCAACAGGAAGAACAACAGCAATTGCAGAGAGAAGTCGTAAAACCTAAAAAGCTTGAAATTCCAATTTTTGAGTCCCAATCGCAAATCAAGAAAGAGGTCATCGAAACCGGCAAACTGGAC